TTGAATCTGAATCATAAATCTGTGTTTATAAAATATTCATCGTTGTCTCTTCGTCTCTTGATCAATAACTGAAAATAATGTCTTTATTGATTCACAAGGAAAAAATGATCTTTGGTCGATATTTAATAATAAGAATATTAGAACCTTCCAACGGTGTCAGTCTTTATTTTGCAGATAGCGCCCCCTGGTGGTCATAGTGTTATGGTCCTGTGTGTTGCAGACGTCCTCGGCTCCCTGCTTGTTGTGGTCCCTGGACTTTTAGGCCTGATGGTGTTTTCTCCTGAGTTGGAGGAGGACCGTCCATTCTGCCAGGTAATACCTCCGTCCAACACCAGGAGGCAGGGTCACTTCCTTTAGTTTCATCAGGTTTTCAACAATTTATTGATTAATTTGAATAAAACACTTTAAAATACTCTCAGATAACCAGTGACTGATATATAAATCACTTTTTATTCTGTTTCCAGACTAAAACACAACATTTGTTATGTGTGAGTGTGAAATGAAGATAAGGGAAGTTTAACGTGTGTCTCATCTTCATCACATAATTCTGTGTCTCTCATATTTGGAACACTTGATGTTTAGTCCAGTGAAGTTCACTGAGTGCGATATTCTCCAGCTGCGTCTGGATGAAGATGAAGTTTTGTGTTTGTGTCTCATTGTGTTGTGGAATTTTCTTTGTGATCTGTTTCAACTGTAAATGAACTTTGTTTTGTTTCTGCAGGAGCTGATCTGTGATCTGTCTTTCAGCTGCACAGTTTTGACTCCGTTCAGGCAGGTTCTGACCTGCAGACAGTGGAAGGTCTGAGGTTCTGTCTGCGTCTTCACTCTGATCCCAGAGCAGCTGATCGCTGATCATTTAAAGGCCTCCTCTCCTCTGTCATCTCCACAGGGACACCAGATCATGAACGTCCTGCTGGCAGCTTTTAAAGGAGACGTCCAGTCTCTGAGGAGGTGACAGCACAAGACAACAGGACAGGATTAGAAGAGACAATATATATATATATATTATCAACAGTTTTAATTGTATGTTCTGAATGTTCGTGGACCACATGTAGATTTCCGAGCTTTTAAATTATCTTCGTCTGTGGTGGTTTGTAGGTACTTCCTGTCTGGCGTGGATGTTAACGCCGTTGACTACGATGAACGCTCAGCTCTGCATGTGGCGGCCACCGAAGGTCACACAGAGGTCATCCGCTTCCTGCTGAAGAACACTGGAGCAAACCCCGCCCTCAAGGACAGGTGAGGCCACACCCATACCAACACCGTCAAATCAAATCTCAAAGTTCATAAAGTCTCAGATTCACAAATCACATCTGATCTGAACCTGAACTAGAGAGAAGAGAAACGAACAAACCATCTTGACAGGATGAAAACAGAAACATCAGAGAGTGAGGACAGGTCGGGACGGGACGGGACAGGACGGGACGGGACGGGACGGGACAGGACGGGACAGGACGGGACAGGACGGGACGGGACAGGACGGGACGGGACAGGACGGACAAAAGTGTAACATCAATAAACTAATATTGATAATGAGAAAAGACAGGGTCCAATAAAAGTGTAGACATGAATCAATGTTTACAGTTTTTATACAAAAGAAAATGTGAGTCTGGATTAAAAAAAGAAGATTTGTGTCCGAGATGTTTGTGTTCGTATAAACAGAGAAGGTCAGAACCAGGGGCGGAGCCAGGAGGCGATCATCTGATTGGCCCCTGAAGTCCCCTGTCCTGTCCTTTGTCATTTATTAATAATGAACAATAAGATCAATAAAATATATATAGTTCTATTTTCTCTATTTTGAAAACACAATGAACTTTAACAAAGACCAATTTTCAGAATATATTCAATGAAGCTTCCGTCTCATCTGATTGGAGGAGATGTGGAGTCTGATGTAGTTGTGTCTGTCCACCAGGTGGGGGCGCTCTCCTCTGCACGAGGACTCAGCTGTGGAGCTGCTGCAGAGAAACACGGGACGGATCAATAATCGATAGATCATCAAATAACCGATCAACAAATCAGTCAAATCCTGAAGAACACGAATCTGAAGAAGTGACTCTGAATTGTTTCCTGTTCGTGTTCAGAGAAACGACGTTCACATTCAGCCTGCGTCTGATTCATATTCATATCATATTCATAACATATCA